CCAATAACAGTGATGCTCCCACACGATGGCGTCGATCGAGGAGGAAAAGTAAATAGACACACAACAAGTCTGAGTTGAAGGATTTGACATATTGACAATTTCATTACACATTCAAAGTCATTTCCATGCTATGTACCCACATGTTGTACAGTAGAGCTAGATTAAAGACAGTCCAAGCTAAGTGAATCCAGCTTGTTCCCAGTTATGTGCCACGCATCAGGACAATTTCGTTTCCCAAAGCATGTTTGCTTCAATAGTAACCTCCAGACTTCAGGTCAGCTGCTCCAAAGGTCCACCCACGGAAGTTGTCGACAAATGTTAGAGCAGACGCCAGGTACCGCTCATGTACGTCACCCCAGGTCCTAGAGGCCTCTTTCATGGCGCGAATCGCTGAGAAGCTGTCAGTTCTTGCATGCTAGGACTTGAGTGCAATAATGGTACTGACCTTTAACATAGTGAGCGTCGGTGGCCCATTGAGAGTTCAAAGCCTCATGCTCAACATGTCCCCAGTGACGTTGCTTCAAGTCCGTCTCTACATTATCGGGGTCGATCTTTGGCCGCAACAGGGAAATATAGACACCGAGTACTAGCAACCACCACTCCCTTACTAAGCTTATGTGAAACTTGGCCGGAATGACCGGGAGGAGAATTCGGACGGCGTGGCTCGTTGTGAGGAGATGCACTGTGAAGAAGTTGTATCCGTGGGTGCCGCTGGGTATGGTCGCCACTAAGAGCGCAACCGCAAGCTCCTGTGACTCTTCGAACTGCTTCACCGGGTCTGTGATGGTCCAGGCATTCCAATATTCCAGGACAACGTCTTCATGCTTTGCAAACAAGACGTCGAGATTGCCCAGGGATGGTTCCTTAAACAATCCATCGAGTCGCTTATCATCTGCGACTTTGTGAATCAGCTCGAACGTCGACTTTGAGCTAAATGGTGACGGCTTCGTGTATTTCTTTTCGTCGAGGTATTGGTGGAAGAAATTATATTGCGTGGCAGCCAATGCCAGGGCCTCGATCGCGATCTCCTTGGAGTTCATCTCGTAAGCGTATCCGAGGTGGATGAGGGGGTGGCCAACTATATGAGGGGTCAGCAAATGTACTTCGTCATTCCTCTGTGCAATACGCACGACCACCAATAAGCCCATGGACCAAAGGCTCGTCGCCAGTAAACATGAACTCGTCGACGACCTTCTTCCACTCGTAGGAGTTATTCGCCAAAGAGTCTTCAAAGAAGTCGACATAGGCCCTCTGGTATGTCTTGTCGCCAAGGAGGTCTCTCCAGTCATCGTCGGTAACCTCGGCGGGAGATTCCCTCCATGGCTCCAGCTCCTTCGCTTCGGCTTCGTAGATATTTTGGAGCTGGCGGTCATTCGCACCTAGCAGATACGCAGACGAAAGAACGTGTGCCGTATGGTTGTCGAACTGGAGGTTGTGGTAGATTATGGAGTGGTTGACGTGGTTGGCCCTCAGCAGGTGCTTGAGGCATCTCGCTCGCCGGTCGTGGTCGGTCTCGACATCGTGAACTTCGACAGGAGGGATGTTGATGGTTTGCGCCTTTTCGCCGTCTGAGACGAAGAGGTTGACGATTGGAACGTAAGAGAGAAGACTGGGCGCCATTTTTGCAAGTGAGACCTTCAAGAAGTTCCCATTGTTGGAGGAGGGAGAAGTATTGCGACAGAGCTGCAGATACAAATTGCCGTTAAAGACATGGCGCGACCCTCCGAGAAGCGTTGGGAAAGTGACGTTTGATGGGTTTGACTGAGTGGGGCTATTGTATGCAGGGAAGTGCGGGCACGTCCTCTTTTCGCAGGGACCGTCCCACCTCGGCGCACTTTAAAGTGCCCAGCGCGACCACGCCCAAGCTGCTGGACGCTGGCACCTTCAACTTCTCAACCCCGCCATTCCCGGCCGGCTGCCCCGCTAATTATCGGTCGTCCGGGAACGGAACGCCAGCAAAGGCATTCCTTCCGAGGGCCCTTTCCGGCGCTGCCTCTTCAGTATATCAATCTTCTCAGTGATCCTCCTGATACCTATTGAGACACAAGTTAGTCTCGTACAGAGCTGTTCAAACCTTGTTCTATAAGAATTGCTGAGCTTTAGAACCCTGCCTCAAAGCTCAACACAAGTATAGTGCTCTCGTCACTCGTCGTTGCCATCACCATCAAGAAGGAGGATAGAGCAACGTTCGTAAGTCCTAAGTCAGAAGCTCCCATGGTGAGAGAATAAAACACACAGTTCACAATCTTCGTCTGAGATGACAGAAAGCCCTGTGACATCGCCAAGTGTGCTGCATGCCGGGCAATACGCAGGGGGGTGTAGCTGAAGGTAGCACGCGGCTGCCATCGTTCCATGTAGAGACACAGAGAGTCTTGCAAATGAAACCTATCGAGACAAGATAAATAATCACATATCCCCCATGGTCTAGGTAATTGGTTCTCACATGGTCGACCTCGACATGGTCTTCCTCCATATTTCATCCCAGTTTGTCAAAACAAAGGCTCGAGGTCATCCATGCTCTTGGGTGAACATGAACTGCACCATCCTCCAGACACGCATTCACGCTGTCCGGCGCTTACTGGTCATCTTCAGCTGCGATTCCCGGCTTATGTAACGCCGGCCGGGGAGCCATAGGTAGACCGGTCTACGCTGCGCGCATGAACGGTTGCAATTCTCGGTCAAACATGGGTGTCTGATTGGTATTCCGTTTTTACGGGGCTTATGTGAATTGGCCAATAGCGTGTACAGTTGTCACCGAAATCTACAACACCATGGCTCGCGATGCATGGGATTGAAGAGCCTCAGCACGAGATGGTCTATAAACTATTGAGGATGTAGCAAAACCCCTCACAAAACTTAGAAACAACACATCCCGGGGATCACATTACAGCTGTCAAATCCTGCAATCCTTGCCAAACACTGGGTCTCTGAAATTACCCTTCTGCAAGACCTATCCAGTCACATCGACTTACATGACCGAAATGGAGGTTGGGAGTGATATCCACATCTTCTTGGGCACCTACCCGAGGAGGTCGGCAAACAGCCCAGCATCTTTCTATGTCACACCTAGGCTTGCTCGAGGCGGTCAAGAAGTCTTTTCAAATGAACAAAGGCCTCAAGAGACCTACTTCGAGGAGGCGACCTGGGCCCAGTACATTGGGGACACTTCCAGCTCTTCAGGACTCTCCTCAGATGACGGCCGAGTGTCCGAGATGTTCCCTACCTATCCAGCCTCCGTTGGCACCCGCTCCATTACGGACGACTCTTCCTCTGTTCACACCCCGGAACCTGTAACGCCCAACGATGAACCGGCTTCCATTCTATCCAGCTCCCCATCCTCTCTCGAGGTTCAACTACATGGTCAGGGATCCTACGGCGACCTTAGCCGGCTGCGTGGATACGACGACAAGTTGACTACGCCGCACTACGATCCAACTCAGAATCCTCCCAGATCTCTGACTCTTCAGGTCGATGCCCCTACACGCGTTACCAAGAAGTCAGCAGCCTCCAGACAACGGGTTGTCAAAGATGTCAGAAAGGTTAATCAAGTGAGAGGGACTGGAGCTTGCCTGAAATGCCGAATCCAGAAGGTACCCTGCTCGACTACCGATCCGTGTGGTACATGCACAACCTTCAGCAACAAGGAACAATCTGCTGAGGTCTGTTGTATCCGGGGAGATTTGAGCACCGTTGCCAAGGAGTGTTCCTCCAGGAGATGTGAGCCGTGGTACTTCCAGCTTGATATACTCAAACCTGACCTATTCTAGTCACTTGCTTGGCTCAAAAGGAAGACCGCGCTGTTAATGATACACTGAGACAAGCACGGCCTGAGTTCCGAGGGCCGGTCTTTCACGGGCAGATTCTCTTTGAGAAGGACTACAGTAAAGCTTCGATCCCTGCAGCCTTGAGGAATTACTATTGCACAGCACCTAATCACGGCGGTTGCACCTTTTCGAGAGATCATCCCAATCCCGCATTGTCGCAGGAACAGCTCGTCAAGTGGGCCGAACGCCAGGTTTTGCCAGAAGATCATAGGACATTCGAAGGTGGCATTGAATCGTTCATCAGACACTACTCCAAGCCTTCCCAATGCAGCCGCTATAGCGTTGTTAGTCATCGGCCCCAGGTATGAACTGAATGCCTGCATGAACGTCTCCGTACTATATGCAGGCGTCCGAGAGTGGCCACCTCTAACAGCTTCCAGATGCAACTCTTGCAAAAGGTACATACCTTCAAGTCAATGTACAAAGTATATCGGACGCCAAATTTCTACTTCGCGCCATCGGACAATAGTCCAATTACCGAGCTGTCATTCTCAGCACAAGCTCAGATGAGAGGCGTCGCCAAGTCCGCTCTGGAAGCATCTGAACGAGATATTCTCGCCGAATTAGACAAGTATCTGAAGAACAAAATGGATATCAACGACAGGCCAGCTGTCTGGGCCGCATTGTGGCAAATGATGCTCATCTATCGAGACTTGCTCAAGAACATACGGTCATGGCATACCGCCAATAATGCCGAGTCTCTTCTTAATGCCATGGCGGTCTTCTACGGAAGTTCTTTTCGCACATCAGCAGCGTTAAGAATGACTCTGGATAAGACCAGTTACGGAGAGATTGCCAATTCATTTGAAAATGCCTTGAGCCTCCGCGATACCTTCTGTGAGCATACTCAGATTACCTGTCACCGTTGAGTCAACAAGTCTAATCTCCACCAGATCGACAGATTACTGCAGGCGTGAACGTTATTGATCAGCGTCTCAAGACTCTAGTTGTAGATCCAGAGATGAAGGTTCTCAAACGAAGGCAACCCAAAAAGTCGGTCGGTGGTAAACGCTCCGCTGCTGGAGAACAAGACGATGAAGACGATGTTATGGGAAGTTGTTGATAATGACTTTGATTTCCTTATCCCCACCGATGGCTACCGGAAGACTTTCTTTACTCAAATTTGACTAGCGAGCGGAACACGATTGAAGTTCATAGAAGCTGAATCCATCTCGTCTAACATGTTTCCAATGCTCGGATAATTGTGATGCGAAGGTCTTCCCGTGCTTCAGCTTTATTAACTGTCTCATGGCGCAATCTCTGAGAAAGGATTTTCCATGGCGCTATACAGTGATAGCCATTGTCCTTATCTTTCGCCATGGCCGAGAAAACTGCAGACATGCCCTCTACCGTGCGTATTTTGTCAGCGCAGGGTATCCATCCATGAGCATGTTCGTGGCGAACGAATTCGAGGATTTGCCCTGCGATTGCCGCCGCAATTATGGCGGAAAAGGATGTTCCACTGAGCTTGAACGGCTCACTCGATAGAGCAGGTATTGGTAGCTCGACATCTTCACCAAGTACTGCGAAGTTGTATTTCGCGTGCGGTGATGGCGAAGGATTGAAGTCGCAATTCGCTCGAATACCGGCCGTCGTAGAAAACATGCAGAATAGTTTCAGGCTGGTGTAAAGACGGGCTGGAAAGGCAATATCTCTGATGTTGCCAAAGTTGGATGCCGCCGCAAAGGTAAGAACTTTGGCATTGCAAGCATCATTGATGGCAAGCTCCAGATCTGTATTTGCTGCGTCGAAACCTGAAGGCATTACTATGATGTCGGCTTCCCAGACAGTCCGAGCATGGTAAATCGCCTTCTTTGTTAGTCACGAGTATTCGGAAATTGGACTTCACTCACCCGTGCCATTAGACTGGCTGTATCATCGGAGGCATTGTGTCCCTCAAATACTCTTCCGACATAGATCTGCGCGGACGTGTATATCTTTTTAATCAAGGCGACCGCGCAGGTCCCATGATTCGTGTTGTCCTGGTGGTTGAACCCGTTGACCGAAATGAAGTCTTCGTAACTCGTGGTGAGGCTTCTTAGTTCACGTCGAACTCCAGTGTCCAGGATTGCAATCCTTGATGGCTGAGAACTATAATTCTTGGATAAAGGACTCCGAATAACTCGGTCGAATGTGTCGAACTCTTCGAACCAATGAGTTGATGACAAGGTACCGCTACATCACCAGCTGTCAGCTTCTACTCCATTATTCCATTGGCTGGGGCATCATACCTTGACATAGGACCGTAGGCGAGCGATGTAGGCAGAGAAGAAGCACTAGCTCGTTAGCTCCTTAAGACAACCGAACCCGGGGAAAACAACACACCTGAGATGAGATACGTTGAGATGATCTTGCGGTGAATCCCAATTGGCCTGGCTGTTCGAACCGATGAGCCTTGCGCCATGCTGGTCATTGGATGCTCTGCCAGGAGACTTCAGTGTTCGACTTGACGTAGGAGGATTCAGAATGACTGGAGTTATTTCCTCAAAGTCGGGGTCGTTGGTCCAATTGGTACGGTAACACGAATGAAGAACGTTAACGATGCGCTCCTCTATTGCGTGGCGGAGGCCCTCGTCATCATCTGCATATTCCAGAAAACTGTGTATATCAAGACACCGCTCTACTACGTCTGCAAAGGCAGCAAAGAAGTCATTCTCCGCTCTCTTCGCCGCAAGTACTCTTTTTCCAACAATAAGATCCGTATTCGCGTGTGGTCTACCGTCAACTTGCACATCACTGGGTAGTCTGAGGGTCTCTATACCGACACCGAGCTCTATTTCGAGAAGCATAGTCCCTAGAGCAAGAATCTTGGGGAAAGAATGCACCATCGCGGAATTCTTTGACTCCGTACAGCCGTCAAAGTGTGCTGAGAGGAAAGGCTCATTGACATAGATGCCAGCGAGTTTTTCGCCCCGCTGTTCGAACATGAAATGAACGTCGCTCTTGGTCCATGGGTTACGCATCCATTCGGACCCATATAGTTGCCAGAAAGACTTAGCTAGCACATAAGATAGCAAGATTTTGCGTGACGGATTCAGCCTTGCCCCGTGATGGGTCACTAGATCGTGGAGTGAGATGCTGGACTCGTGAAGAAGGAAGCCGACAGAGAATCGTTGCATAGGCTGCATGAACACCTTTCCATCGCTTAGTGCTTCGAAACTCAACTGGCATTGGTTTCTGCATGTTATGAGTTGACAGAAGGTTTGCTTAGAAACCGCTATGGCATTTTGCGCCATGGGAGTAGAAGATGGATCATCCGCATACCTAGCTCTCCTGCAAGCAATGTCAACGTACGGCGACCACAACCTTAAGTCAGTGATTAAGGCACTGCGCACCTGGTTCTTGGGATAGAAATTTGCACGTCCTGCCATTGAGACAGGGCGGGATGATCCTGTCGATGCGGATGATCCAGGAAGAAGAGTCGGAATTTCATAGCATCAGGGGGTTCGGCATGAGAACCACACCCCCGAAGCTGTAAGTTTGCCGTGATGTGGCCCGCCATATTATCCTGAGAGCATAGACATATAGGGGATAGAGTTTCGTATAGCGCGCTGATATACCCTTGACAGTCCCATCGCTGCTGCGCCTTCAAATCCTTGCTATCAGGCGTTACTTCGAGCAACTCGGTCATCCGACTTGGCTGAGTTGATATGTGGATTTTGGCCAATGCTTGAAGAAAATGGTCTTGTCTTCGTAGTTTCTTATACGACGCTAATATGCGCATAGCCTGTTTGAATTTGCTTCTGCCTGCATCCCGGCGTTGAAGGATCTCGTATTGGCTGAGATCGCCTGCCTCGACAGTAACCTTGAAAGTTCTAGGGTACTAAAGCAGAAGTCTTCGTCAGTTCGTTGGGCGTTATGTAATTGGTGGAAGTCAAGCTTAGCACTATGAACCTACTTGACCCAGCTCCTCCAGGAGAGCTAAAAGCTTCAGAACGCGGTCGACATTATTTGGGAGCTCGAGCCCTCTCGTCTCCTTGAGCCACTCAGCTATGAAAACCAGCTGAACCCTCAGATTGACCAGGAATGCTTTCGGGGTATTACCACTCCTGAAGAGTTCAGATACCGTATCGGAGATAGTTCGCAGGCCATGGTTTGCGAGTTGGAGCGCATCGCGTCCCAGCGTAGGGACCATTGCTGCTATTAGGGTGAGTGGTGAACGCGACTGTTACGTGTTTACAAAAGTTGCGTATGCGGCAGCTAGACGAAAGAATCCCCAGAGATTTGCCTTCAAGCCTTCTCATGTGGGGTGACCAAATCCTGATTGGTGCATTGATCAGCGAATGAGCTGACTGCATGCTGCGCGGGCACAGGATAGATATCAAGGCTGGCAAAGCCCGGCGAGTCTTGTAAACGTTCGAGAGATGAATGATGAAGCTGCCTCGGGCCCTTGGAAGCATACGATGAACAGTGAAGACGCTCCTTGCGTGGTATCTACAAGCACCCTAGGGCCTGGCCAAGTAAAAGTAAGTAAGTAAGTAAGTGGATATAACGGGGGTTTGGAGCATCAATCAAAGCAGCATTTAATTCCCCATCATGAACTTCAAATGGCTCTATTATCGGGTGTTGGCAGACTATCATGGTTCAGAACAAACACATCGTCATTGATGTTCATTGGGCATGGGCATACATCAAGCCCTTCGTCTCGCAATGTTTGGGTGACTTCACCACCGATATCCATTTCGCTGTCCAAACTTCCAAATGTTGCGCCATGTGAAAGCGTTTCAAAAGACCACTTCCGATCGATAAAGCCTTTTGATATCTTTGCCAAGCGAACTGCCCATACGAAGTCGGTCAATCTGTGTGCCGATGTTGCAACGGCTTTGTCCTTCGAGCAGCCAACTTGTAAGTCCATTTCAGCGATGCCGAGCGGAGCTTCACTATGCGTACGTGCGGTCAGTCCTACACCCAATAGTTGCTTAAGAGAGGCCGTCTGGCGACTACTCACATCCCTGGCCCCCCAACTGTCTTCTTAATTGCAGTTATAGAAGCCCCACTGGAAGCGCCTCGCGCTATGGCAATCCCTGTAATCATGAACATCGTCGATGTCTTCAACCGACCTTGCTTCTTGAGATGGTCGCGAACTTCATTTGTACTGACACTTTCCTCGACGAAATTATTGGTAGGTTGGATAATGAACGTCTCGAGAGCTTCGAATTCCCAATGATTGCTGACACTCTTGTCGAAAGCAAACCCGGCATCTAGCTTAAGCGTCACCCCGGCAGCCGCAGCGATGGGCGCGCTGGCCGTCGCGGTAATCTCTGCACCGCGGCCAGTGTCCATCTGCCGGTTTAGCCCCCACGCCTTGCTCGGATGAATCGGCATGTTCGGCGGGATGTCGAGCGGTTCGTCTCGATTGATGATGTTGTCGAGATGTCGGAGGTCAGGTATCAGGTGTCCTAGACAAATCGGGCCTCGTGAAGGCCCGAATCCGGTTTTGGGTATTTCCGGCGGAGGATAGTGCGTCTGTGAAAGGACGAACCAGCATTTCGAACCCATCTTGATCGAACTGTCAACAAAAATTCGATTCCTCGGGTTTGACCAGATGGTAGAAGTACTACCAGGCAGCGTCCTTCCTTTCCAAATATTTGTCAAGAACGAAAGTGTGCTGTATCATGCAGCCATCTAGGAACGTTATAGGCCCACCAACCTCACGCTATTCGCTCTATTAGCGAGTCACCTGATAAGCACTTCTCGGACTGAGCCGCCGGGCAGGAACGTCCAGCTACCTCAAACACACCATCTTCCCAATAGGCATCGCAGCTTTCAAATCCTCATCTGTGATCAACGCCAAGGCAATGTTAACATACCGCCGAGATTGAGAGTCTCTCCTTCAAACCCGTTGTACCATGGCGCCGAGAAATTTCCAATCCCGCTCCTCTCTTCACAAAACAGACATTCGTCAACGTGCGGTAGCATGTCAGGCACTATTTGCCACCCCCCGTTATTCTATGCCAGACATATCAGAATTGGACTGGTTTGAGTACCGCGAAGCCGAATACAACCTCTGGTGCAAAGTGATGAAAGCGAATCAGAAGGGCAAATCGTCACTGGACCATCGAGTCCGCGACCATGCCGATGCACGTCAATTGATTCAAGATCTATTAGATGGCTTATGCGAGTCGCTCGAAGATCTCTTGAGACTAGGTAAATGATAGTACTCAGTAGTGTTTTCATTCTTTCACTAATCTTGATAGCTCGCTTGAAGCCATCAATAATCGCCGAGTGTGCTTTTAAACGCCAGGATGGCGAGACAACAGACGAAGCTAGCTCATCAAGCGGAGATTCTGAAGATGATAGCGAGATAGAGCTTCACCAAGACGACATCCACCGGCGAGAAATTGAGTACCACATGTTTTACATCAAAGCAACTATCTCACAGCTTGTCAATCTGTCGACCCGGATTCGGCAATCAGGCGTCAAGTATCGCTATCAAAAAGCCGATGAATCACTCAAAGAAGGGGACTTCGACGACTACGTACAATCCTGGAGGAGCAGTATTCTTGGCGGCAAACTTGCAAAAGCGACTGCTACTGTGCCCTATCAGACGGGCGCAATCGCTGACTTCCTCCACGAAAGTCGACTGACGATTGTGCAAAGACGCTTGATACGTGCTAACCTTCTTCGTCGGAATAGGATCCGGTTTGTTCGAGAATCACATATGAATCGTGAGGAACCCATTGCAGAAACGGAAGCGACATTTGAACCGCAGTCTACAAACCAGGAGATCCTAGATTGCGAACCCGACGTCGTGTCTCAGGCTCTACCTGACGAGAACATTCCTTGTCAAACAAGTCCTAAGGTGGTCCCATCGGTGGTCCCTTCGATGTCGCATACAGCCACGGAAATTGGCTCTCAATTTGATCTATCAGTCTTCTTGAAAGAAAAATCACCATCTGTTGCTACTCGAGCCACTCGAATCGGAGGTCGAGATGATCTAGAGTACCCGAAATGTCCTAAACCACCCACGATTGGCACTCCACTAGCTTGTCCTTACTGCGCCGATGTAATACCAGAACAATGTCACAGGAGTCCTTCATCCTGGAGGTAAATCAAATCAGGGCTGGGAACCTCGTAGTTCTGCAGACGCAATCATGGTGCTAACTTCTGTCAGAAAACACGTAGCTAATGACATATTGCCCTATGCTTGTTATTACGAAAACTGCGACACGCCTGATCTCATGTGGTCTACTTCTGACAAGCTGATGAATCACCTAAATCAGTTTCACTCTCGGATCGAATGGACTTGCCCATGGTGTCCTTCAGATCGTGGAGGCAAGCATTTTCTTTCTTTCAGCAGCCGGCAGTGTTGGGAAACACATGTGACCGAAAAACACCAAGATACTGCACCGTACACAGGACTATCATCTCTATCTGAGGTTTGCGAGCGCATCACGCTGGAACCTGTATCGTGTCCTTTATGTACACACGGCAATGACCTCACTCAGCTAGTCGACGATGATCACATCCTCTGGCATGTACACGAGTTCGCGCTGAAATGTTTTCCATGGGAAGACACTAATGAAGAAGATGACGACGACCAAAGCATGATTGACATTGACTTAGAATTAGTCAGAGAAAGAACCGAGGACCTAGTGAACTTTTCCCCGGAAGACGGTAATGCATCATTTCTGGAGGAACCGGCACGTCACTCCGATGGTTCAGACTCGGACGTGACACATCTTCAGCCTGGCAAGGGCACAAGACAAGCAGAAATCTCATCTGAATCCACAATTCCAAGCACTGATCCAGAACTCTTCGAGTTCTACTATAGGGTCTGCTCTCCCACTGGAGCTGGAGTGATCCCTCCATCCCCTGGTGGAAGACGACCTCCATCCCCTCTAGATCTAGGACAAGAGAACCATCTTGAATCTGAGATAGGGGCCGCCACGGATATCAGGATTTCTTCAGGCAGCTACTCAGGGCAAAATGCAGTACCAACATCGCCAAATACGAGCTCCTTTTCTGAAGTGGCCTTGTGGGATGGGCATTCCCTAGACGGTTGTCCTTCATCCCTTTCATCTCTTCTCGTTGAATCTGGAGATCAGGAAGACCTGGGCAAGCCCAAAGTACCATTGTTCAACTCATCGAGAAAATTCTCTCCCATGAAATCGGACAATACCAAAACCAATATGGTCCGCACCGTCGGTGCTTGTATGAGATGCCGTATACAGAAGGTTACATGTACTGCGGAGGGTGTTTGTGACAGATGCGTCAAGGCTCATCCGAAGGAACCCCAGAGCTCCTGCTTTCGGGAAGACTTGATTGTGATCGCAAACAGCTTGACCCAACAGCGCTGTGAGTTTACGATCATCGTCACTGGAAAATCTCCAGTTAAAACTATGCTCGTTAACAAGCTAATACGTCTCAGTCGCTGGGTTGGACAGAGTTAAGGACATTGAGGTCAAGGAGCTGCTCAGAACCGCCCGACCTCAATACTTAGAGCCAATCTTTAAGGGAGCGGTAGTCTTTACTCGTGGCTGGCCCCAGTTTCGGCTTCCCACCACGTTGCGAAACTACCAGTGCCTGGATGACATGTCACGACAGGTTCACTCAGGTTGTGTTCTTTCCAGAGAGCATGGGGGTGTTCCCTCATATCAGGACCTCGTCAAATGGGCAGAGCAGATGATATTACCCGAGGACCGCGGCACCTTTGAAGGGAGCATCGAACATTTCATCAAGATGTACTCCGCGCCTCAAAGGTCGCGCTCATACGTCAGACGGCCACAGGTATAGCGCAGCATCTACCCAACGCACATTGCTCCCAGTGCTGACTGTGTCACAGATGGAACTTCTGGACAAGGTCCACACCATGAAATGCATGTACAAGATCTGCTGCCAGGACGACTTCGTCTTCATTCGCGACGATACTGGAGCAGTGAAATACCTGCCCTTGCCTGCCAAGGCAGAATTGAGAGCCATCGCCCGCATGGCTCTCGAGACAGCCGAGAGAGATATCCTCAAGGCACTCGACAAGCTCAAAGCTGCTGCGACTAAAGTTCCCGAACAAGACTTGCCTGCTCTGTGGGCCACCTTGTGGCAGCTGATTTTCATCTACCGAGACCTCCTCAGGAACAGGACACCGCGAGACAACGACGCGGGAGCTCTCCTCAACGCGGTGGCCGTCTTTTACGCAGCCCACTTCAGGACTTTAGCCTCACTTGGTAAGCTGTCTATGGACAGCCTGCAACGTCATTGGGGACCTGGCGAGACTCAGCAGGCGCAGCTGTCTGGTGCGTTTGACCATGCTCTGAGTCTTCGCGATACTCTCCGTAGGTCTACTACCCACGCTTTTTGAGCTGTGAGCTGTCACTAATAGAATGGCGGCTAGACCGAACAATCGCAGCAGGTATTGACGAGATCGACCACCGCCTCAAGGCATTGGTTGTTGATCCCGAGATGAAAGTGCTGGGACGACGTACGAATAAGAAAACGAGCGGTGGCAAGTGACTTGCTGCACCGCTCAAGTGAAGTGTGAAAGTGAGACTGTGGAAGCCCGAGGGGCCCTGTCTTCTGATGACGTTATGAATACCCACGAAGATTATGATGTACGACACGAATGATTGATTCTCCTTTATTTCTCTCGATTATAGCGCACCTTTATGCTGGCCTTTTTCTTTAATATGTAGGATTGGCTGGTGCTTTGGTTCATGGGAGTTTTGCGTTCACACGATATCAGGGACCTGGTCTCTGAAGTGCGATGGCGTTCAGCTGGTCTTTTGAATCTGACGTTTGGATTCCTCCCCTTCAAAGGCCTTGCTAGAAAATAAGCCAACAATTAATCCATTGGTCTGAAATAGAAATGATTCTCAATCCGAGAACCAGAAGCTTATTTCGTCCCATTTTAGCTCGCGAAGCTATTCTCTTGCACAGTCTGGATGGCAAGTGACGTGGGCTCACGATGATTCGTCGACCCGGGATCTTGGAGCCCAGAAGTCAGCTTCATTGGCATCAGCGGGTTCCATTCTCAAGATAAGCCCCAACTTAGCTCTTATCTGGGTCCGAACCAGCGGGGTCAAGGAAGACCCTGGATCTTATTATCCGAACATTCAAACATGACTCCATGGGATATGTGGCGGCCAAATCAAAGGTCGGGTTCATATCTATGGGTCCCTTCTTTTTGCGCGGGAAACCCACACTGTTAGTCTCTAACAATAGTTGACCGAGGGAACGTAGACACTCAGACTAAACGAAAATGAATAGCAGCTTGACGAACTCCGCGCATAACTTGATTCTTTAATTATCAGACCCTCATCAGATCAATCGTATACTGAGGCTGGCAGCAATATCCGATTGAACGACAAACCGTGCACTCATACGATGGCATCGTCAGACCATCCCTATCAGAAGCTTGACATTGACGAGCGAGTCAAGCGTGTTCTTCTCAGGACGCCGCTCATCGACGGCCACAATGACCTGCCTCAGCAACCGCGGGCATGCTTTCACGGCAAGATTCACAACAATCCGAAATTCGATTTCGCAAATGGATTTGAGAGGGGAATGACGGATATCCCCCGACTGAGAGAGGGTGAGTTGCTAGATCCTGTCTCGTTTTACCCCCGTAGATCTACATGACTTACACGACATAAAGGTGCCGTCGGAGGCCAATTCTGGTCCATTTGCGTCCCTTGTCTCAGGTCCGCGGAGAACTTTTCGACAGCAGAGTACTCGGACATGGCGCGCGACGCCATTGAGCAGATTGATATGACGCTTCGGCTTGTTGAGTCGTACCCGGAGACGTTTGAATTGGTGAATGGACCAAATGATGTGAAGAAGATATACGAGTCTGGGAGGATAGCTTGCTCCATCGGTATTGAAGGGTGCGTGTTCAATTTGAGGAGTTGAGAGGCTCACGAGAGACTGACCAGATTGGTAGATTGCACATGGCTGGCAACAGTATTGGTATTATCAGAGCATTTTACCGCCTGGGCGTCAGATATGTAAGTTGGAAATGCTTAGAGATGCTGGTAGTTTTGGTACTGATTTTGCTAGTGCACTCTCACTCATGTCTGCAACAATGCATTCGCCGATAGCTCAACATCCAAAGTCGGCGCTGTGCACGGCGGACTCTCTAAGCTGGGACGTGCAGCATTGATCGAGATGAACAGATTAGGTGAGCAAGACAGTTCGGTCAAACAAGCAGCCCGCTCACCAGCCCTCCGCAGGAATGATTGTAGACATCTCCCACGTCTCAGAAGACTGCGCCAAGCAAGTCCTCGAGCAGACCCGCGCACCAATCATGTTCTCCCACTCCAACGTCAAGGGCGTCTTTGACTGTCCCCGCAACGTCCCGGACCACATCCTAGACATGGTCCCAGCCAACGGTGGCATCGTGATGGTGACCTTTGTTCCGGAGCATGTCACCACACGTAGGAGGGACGCCAAGATGGATATGGTTCTCGACCACTTATTCTACATTGCTGAGCGCATCGGCTGGGACCATGTCGGTCTCGGCTCCGACTTTGACGGTATCGCATCTGTCATTCCCGGCTTGGAGGACGTCAAGTGCTACCCGAGACTTCTCAAGGCTATTCTTGACAGGGGTGCAACTGAGGAGCAGCTTGCTAAGGTCGCTGGTGAGAATATCTTGAGAGTGTGGCGTGGTGTTGAGAAGGTCAGGGATAAGATGAAGGCTGAAGGAGTATTGCCGGTTGAGGATGTGTGGGAAGATCGGACTTGGTGGAGGTATGATGGGTACTACCAGATGCCGGATCCTGATCCTGAGGATAAGCTGGGCTTGGACTGGTATGGTGTTCCGCCTCCGGATGAGGGCTTGTATCTGGACGACAAATAGGACTAAAAACTATCCAATGAAATTTCATGAAATGATTCTCTTGAATTGAAAAATTGCATGATTACTCCTTCGCAAGTATACTGTACGGATGATGTGAGTAATCCATTCAAGGTTCACGGTTCATCATATCGCCCCAAATTCTGAGCTTATAATCTCACTGAAGCCGAATCCTGGTGACTGATACCTGATACTGTCTTGATACCTAGTTCGACTGTCTCGACGCCTCCCAAAAAAAAAAAAAAAAAAAAGGGTCTATAAAATCGCAAACTACCCATTCTCGGAAGCACAGCTGGTCGCTGCAACATTATGCGCGGGGTAGCATCTGCACAAGTCATGGCCGCGGATGACTTCAACCGTGATAAGACGTTTCCGCGGGAAGCAATAACCCCCCCCCCC